GATTCTCAGCAGAACTTGTGGGCAAAATTAGCTAATAAGATTTTTTTTTTTTTTTAAACGCACACTTTGTCTTGTGCTGTAAAGAAGGTGCTAATGAAGACAGAGATCTGACTGAAAAGGGTTTTTTCAGGAAGCTGGTCTGTATTGACATAGACCAAACTGTGCAAGTTTTCACAATATTGGAGAAGTTAGTGGATGTTTGATGGTGCAAACTCCAAACGTTCGAGTCCAGGAGAGTCACCATGGAGTGTAAAGAGGAGCCGTCAGGTTGTGAAATGAATGGCACTATAATTCTGCTCAGRTTAGAATACTAATTTGAACTTGGTTGGTCTCCCTCTTTCTTTCCTTAAAAGAATATTCAACCAAATTAGAGACTTTCTCACTGTTGAGCAGTTGTTAAGAATTGTACTGAAAAGGAAGTTTTATGGCAAATAATTACAACCCCCTCTCTCCCTTTTTTTGCTCATTTTCTAATTCTCCCATATATGGACTTACAAAATTAACTGTTCCACGTTTTTAAAAAGTCAAAAAATATTAAATAGAAGAATTACCTATCATGGTGTATGTGCAATACATAGTGTTCACTTTCTGAAATATAACTTTCATGTCTAATTCAAAAGTGCATTTCACTACTTCCATGTTCACCAAATCATAACCACACGAAGAGGTTATTCACCGCTTAGGAATGAAAGTCCATCTGTTAGTTATTATCCTTGCTGTGCTACAGCACTTCAGCATGGAAGCGACTTTGCAAACGTCGTATCCAATTTTTACTCTCTTCTAGGCAAACTGAGATACCTAGAAAAGGCTTGGAAAAAAAAMCAACCCTTTTTAAGTTAGTGGGAGTTAGTGGGAGCTTGGTGATGAATTTTTAGCATTAGGCCTGAAATAGATTCCTGAAGTCCTGTGTTCTATTTTGTCTCAATTGTGTCARAAAGTACCTTAATGTTTTCCCTTGGTTCTACGAAGAAAAAAAAAAAAATCTTTGCTTTAAAATATGAAAAATGGCTTTATTTGATATCTGTCACTGGAAGTTTTTGAACATTATTATACAAACATATGTGTTTTAGTAATATATGCAGTGACTTTAGATGATTAAAACTTGTTTGTTTTCTTTTCAGTGACTRAAAGATCAAATTGAAGATATAACATGTTTGCAATTTATCTTTAATTCCAGATTGCAAGGGKTTTTTTTTACTATTAAAATCATAGTTCCTGTAGATGACATGCAGGAAAACCTGCTCTTAGCAGGGAATTTCCTGCTGTCTGAACTCATGGAGACAAGTTACGCCACCAAGATGATAGCCATGGGCTCCATTTGGGGAGCTTGTTGTCATGCGGTGACCTAATATAGCATTCCTGTCTGTGGGAGACAGATTAGCAGACTGAATTTTTGAATTCCTGGAAGGTAGTGGAATAACTATAGATACTGAAGCTGTCCTTTGCAGAAGCTCAAATGCTTTCTAAAGTGCGGAGCTGAATTAAATCCAGCCTTTTGTGGAAGGTAAAGAGGTGATTGATAGAGAGAATATATTTTAAAAGATTAAATGGAACTTATGTGGGATTGCTGAGTCTTGTTAAAGTTTCTCAATGGYCACAAATTTGGTAGGTTTTTAAACTGCCTGCTGGCAGTCAGAATTTTGCTTAATTTTTGTCCTTTGAAAAGCAGTTATTGTTATTTCACCCCAGCTGAAATCAAAAGCTGTTGCCTGCCAAGATTGTCTCTTTGTGGTCTTTATAAATGGAATCTTCTGACTAAGACAAGATCCAGGCCCGTTTTTTGGGACATTGCTTGGGGGGAGAAATTAATCAGGGAGGTATGTTAAAAAGGGTGTAGAAAGGGAGACTGAGGGAAGGTATGGCATGGGCTGAGAAAATATGTGGGAAGTAGCAGGGCCAGCAGCCCATTGCAGGAAGGGAGCAAGGAGAAGTGCCCCTGGCCGTGATAGTTGGGAAGCCATTGGAGGCAAGATGGGGAGAAAGTGCTTTAGATACTGGAATATGAATACTTTAATAAAGAGTTATTTTAGAAAAAGGCTAGGGGGAGTGCATGTGTTACTCATTTGTTTCCAAATTCAGTCTAGAGATGTGCTGTATCGCATATATCTGGGCTCAAAGGTGCCTGTTTCTGGCCGACACGCGTGGTCAGTGCTAGGCAGCCGTGGAAGGGTTGAGAGAATCTGTGACATTGGGCAGCGAGGGAGGAGTTTTGGGACYGTGCTCCATTCGTTACAGGAGCCCAAACCAGTCTGATCTCCAAATCCATTTTACCCTAAAGGGAAGCAGCTTGTCTGTTCTTGTGTTTGTGGCAGGCCCTGGGGTGCAGGGGGGTCACAGAGGGCAAGGACAAGCTCGTGTTGGTTGTCCCTCATTCCTAACGGTGCACCGAGGGAAAGGCCTGGGCAGGGCTGCAGCCCAGCGCAGGTTCTTGCTGAGCGGCCGGGCAGCGCGGCGGTGCTGCAGGGTCGGCAGGTGAAGCCGTTGGTGGAAGGCCATCTCCTCGGGGTCTGGTGCTGCGTGCCGGCCCTGGGGCGCCGGCCTCCCGAGGCCGCTGCCCCGCAGGCGCTGGGGACCCGCGCGCTGCCCCTCCTGCCCAGCGGTGCTCAGCTCACCACAGTGCGCCGTCAGGAGCCTCATAAAAATCCATTTCGTGCCGTTTTTCAGGTTCATTCTCTTCAGCTTTGCTCCAAAATGGCAAGAGCCTTTTGCAAGTTAAAACTGAGCTTAGAGTGTGAAATGAGGGTTCTGGAAAAGCCTTGCGGACCAGTCGTCTTCTGGCCAGAGGCCTGTGCTGTTAACTCCCCACTGTATGATTAGGATCTACTGCTGGGAGAAGATCTGGGAGGTTTTATCAGGACAAAGCCTTTTGGAGAGAGCCTGAAAAACTGAGCCTTCCTCAGGAGCCACCCTATATTTGTGTTTGGATTTGAGGGACAAGTGTTGGTTTTCCATTGAGATCCTCTAAGGATGTGTGTAGTCAAGGAGGAGGGTGGCAGGTGGATTAGCAGAAAAGCTCGAGCTGCCCTTCCATATGACGTGGAGGGTGCGATAGACTGAAGTCTTTGGGATAGAGCAGGGAAGCTTAAAGGAGAAGGATTAAGYTCCATTGTTATATTCTCCCTGAAGTTTATAGCCCAGATTATGCACTAAAACTTTGGATGTTTCCTCTGTCACTGTCAACCAATAAAATTTACGTTAAAAAAAACAGAAAAGATAAAGCTGTGACTCGGTGATCTAACACATCAGTAATTTACTATCATAAAATAGTTTTAGTACAAATGTTTTATCTTTTGCCAAGCTGGACGCTAAAGATGTTTTGTCTAAAACATGAGATAATGGAAAGTGTATTGTGGCATGTGAATTACTTTAGCCTCTTGGTGGTAAATGTTTGCTTAACTAGAAAAGAATGTGTCGAGGCCTTGGCCAAAGGAAAGGTATTGCCATACTTTGCATTTAGAGTACTGTAAATAAAGCAGTAAATATGTTTCTGCTCATGTGTGTTAATCTGCAAGTTATGAATGCATTCATTCAATAAGAAATGTAATATACTGTTATCCCTTTTAAAGGGTTTCAGTAAGAACAGGTCATAATTACTTTGGGTTGTGAGAAACATGAAACCAAATATTTTCAGGATGATTAAAGTTTGAATATGAGAGTGAAATAGCTTTTGCTCAAACTAAATTTTCCTTAAATCCCAAGAACTCAAATCTTATTTTACCTTCAATATTCTTCTTGTCCACTGACTCCTGTGATATACTGTTCTTAATTGAACATTCCTGTAAATCATAAAGTAACTTCCTTAACCCGTCCAGTGTATTTTTGGCCAAAGAAAACCCAGCTGCATAACATGCAAATGCCCAGAGAAGGAAGAGCAGCTATGGGAAATACTTTGATTATTGCCCAGAGTGTGGTTTATTTTTGARCTTCATGTGCTTATAACTGATGCAGTAGCTTAGTAATTTAATAAACCTGATTACAGAAAGAATCACATAACTGAGATGGTGGTATAATAATATCTCAGCGCATTTGTTGGAGGCGGGAAGTATATCAAATGAAAGCAACAGGGCCCTCTTTTAGAGGGCATGGAAACATGCCTGCCTTTCCCCAAAAGCCTATCCCCAGGATTTTGGTTAGAGAGTCGGGAGAGAGTATTAAGTTATAGGATGTAATTGTGGAGAATATGCTCCGTTTACTTTTTATTGCTGTGGCATAATTTGTTGCATAACTGGCTTTACCCTGTAGGATGGAGAGGATCCCTTATATGGGAAAGGGCTGCTCATCCAAGCCCGGGGCCTCTTGTAGTACACACAAATATGTGGGGTTTTCTACGGAGAATTGTTTGCAGATGATGCTGGGAGCAGAGATTTGCTTAGGCATAAACAGGAATATCATACCATCTTTCAGAAAGAGCTGCCCTAATGGGGATGTGTGTTGTACCCAGGCCATTACTCCTGCACAAACAGCGCTCTAAGCATTTCCAATAGATTTGTTTTGATAGTCATTTAGCTTTGCTTTTTGCTTTGACTTTTCAATAAATCATTGATAATTCATAAGCAAATGTGATAAATTAACATTGCAAACCTTGTAAATTAAAGCTATAGTATTAAAGACCTTAAGTGTGAAAAACTGCCAACGTGTATTAGTATATACTAAGGGTGACTGGTTGGGAAAAACAAGTAGAATATTGAGTCTTACGTTCATTTAGAATTGGATTTTCATAAATGGAAAAAAGAAAATTTAACTGCATAATGTGTAGTGATCAGAGAAGGAAGAGGCACTATAGAAAATATTTATATAAAAATATATGGGCATTTTGATGTCCATATCTGATTTTGGTAAAAATATCCATTAAGAACTCTTAAAATGTTTCAGTCCATAGGAAAAGGAGAATATCATTTTCCTTCTCATATTCTTAGGCTCAGAAGTTAAGAAGGTTAAAAAAAATCATTTTGTCCTTTGTAGTATTAAAACCTAAAATATTATTTCCTGTTATTTTTAAGGTACCATGAACTGGATGCCAGTAGAAGCCTGCTAGACAATTTGAAAGACAAAGTAATAATTGAGTACCCAACTTTATTTGTGGTCTTGAAAACACTGAAGAATGACATGGTGGTTCTGGGCCAAGGTAAGCATATCTTGATTTCCTGTTATGCTATACTTAGATATTTTAGTTGAATAAACAATAATTAAGGATACACCCATTATTAATGCTGGGAATGTACAGTATGTCTTGTATTTCCCTCTGAATATAAAAGATCACTGTAAAAACGCTGTTAGGAATGCTCTGTCTTAAATCAACTGGTTCATGGCTTATGAACACAAGCTGTATTGTATATATTTGTCCCAAATTTGTTAAGAAGCGCCTGGTCCATTTTTGTATAGTTTCAGCCATCACAGTAAAATATCTCTCCATATTGTACTAAATCTTGAAATGAATAAAGTTTGACAGAGTTGGTCAGTTGGTCAGAAAAGTCAAGCAGTCTGGGCAAGGTCAGTTATAATAAGCCTCCTTATCATGAAAGGGAATGATTCTCCATCATTTCTAGCAGAGCTCTTAACACTGGACAAGTGGTTTTGAATACACAGTAGCCATTAGCAATCATAGTGGGGAAGGAACTTTGTAGCTGGGTTCAAAACAGTACGTGATCTTTGAGAAGTACTCTATGGTGAGAAAATTTAGCAGTGAGTCCAGGTCTTGTAGGGATTTATATTTCAGTTTTGAGGCTCATTTCCACCCTTTTCCCCATCGTAAAGGCTCCTGTCCCAGCTTAACATTTTGCAGCTGCTGGTAGAAGGGGCAGTTTAACTAGTCACTGTAGTTGTTCATCCCATCATTTTCAAGGATGAACAAGTCCGATTCTTAGATATTTCTGAGAAGTTTTGAGCAATCTTTCAGTGCGAATTTTCCTTACAAAAGCTGAATCATGGTTCTCTATTTACTTACTCTGAAAAATGTGATCCTGAGACTTCTGTACCAGTGCTATATTCACACTAGGCATACACATAGATTTACTGGAGGACAAGGACACTAGGTACCTCCAGTTTAACCATTATTTGTTCTTAAGTGGTCTGCCTTTCCCCTGTGGCTTAGATGCCAGAAGGGAATTGCAATCGATTGACTCATAAACTCAGTCTGAACAGGGTGACAGTCATTATTGTCATCTGAGCCAGCAGGGACGTTGTCCTTTTAAGGGTACAGATTCCAATAGGTGTTGACCAAAGGACTCTATTTTGAAGTCCAGCTCCAGCCGTGCCCGTGCTGCCCCTCGAGGCAGGGACCCTGCCTGCAGCCCCATAACCAGGAGCACTGGCCACTATCTCAGCTTCGGGGACCACCTCATTATTTTGATCTCCTTTTTTGGCAGCTCTTTCTATAGATTCCATAACAATCAAGAGTCCAGTTCCCTGTTGAGAGGTATTGAATATAGTGGAGCAAATAATTATAATTAGGGAAGAAAAATAGTTATGATTAAAATTGTGAAAATCATTGTTATTTTTGTGCATTTTTGAGTTGACAAATTGGCATTTACTTCAGGCTTGAGTTGGGTTTACATCCTTTTCTTGGAGCCTTTTCTGTTAGCATGGAAGTAAACCTGACTCAGGATCTAAGGAGAGGAAAGAGAATTCAGAGAGGGAGGGTGAAACCCACTTAAAATTAGTATCTTTTCAAGATCTGTATCTAGTCATTTATTGTTTGGGTGCAAAGTGAAGACTCAGTGACTGAAAGAAAACATTGAAAATAGTTTCACTTGCAATTATGTATATAAATAGCTGGAGACATTGTGTTTATTGCGGATAATGTGTTTATTTGAATATTTACAGCGCATTTAAATGCAAAATGGAGATATTTATGTAGTATAGAAGATTAACAAGGTTAAGTCTTACACAGTAAGTATCGATTCAGCCAGACCTCCTGCTGTCCAAAGTGCTCTTTTGTGCCTGTTCACACTACAACATTCATTTACACTCTGGTGAAGGGATGAAATATTTTGTTCAGTGTTCAGCATTAAAATCTCCTTCTTTCCTTCCTTAATATTTTCTATAAGGTAGTTTTAGCACTTGGCGATTTTTGGAGGTAAAATTTGGAAAGTAAAAAGCCATCTTCTCTTGAGTATTATCACTGGAATAAAGGAGAAAGAGCAATATTTGTCTATCAGCTTAGTGAGTTTGTTTCAGTGTTGCTTGCTGAGGCTCTGAGTGCAGCACCAGCAGCTTGGGAAGGATGATCATGACTCCTGTGCTTCGTTATTGCCCCCAAAGGCAGAGGGGAGCTGGAGCTGGGCCCTAACAAGGAGGAGGCCACGCTAGAACTTAGGGAACACAAGGCCTCTCTTTCCTATCCTTGTCCTCAGAAATGGCTGGAGCATTTTGGCTGAAACATTCAACAAAAATATCTGATTGAGGAAGGTAACTGGCACTCGAGAATTGAATTCAGTGTTTAASTTTTATGCGAGGAGTAAACTGCACACATATCTATGATGTCAAACCTGTGAAAAACACTCTTTTTGAAAGAGAACCATCTGTAATTTCTGCTAAATAAAACTTACTCTAGCAGACTAAACTAAAGCTAAAATTTGTCTGTAGAGCTTCTCTGTGAATCAGAAGATTACCAGATTCTTTTATGTGATGTCTCGATGCTCGACTTGCTGAGAGCAAAAACTACAGGTGCTCTCAGYGTGCGAGGGCAGTCGTGGCTGAAGTCAGCAGGGGATTATGGAAGTTTTTACAGGACTTAGGGACCAAAATAATCCTCACTCCATGCATTACTCAGTACATATCTGGCATATGTAAATGTTAATTGATTATACACTGGATTTAATGTAGACAAAATGTGACCTCAAATGTTTCTGGGTGAAGTGCTTCTATTTTCTTGAACAAATTCCATTGCAGCTGTACAGGTGCGCACTGTGTCCCACGTACTAGGCACACTTGCCAGCTGCAGAAGTTATCTGCACGAGGCAGCAGCAGTATCTCACAGCTCCCACTGGGTCCTGTTTCCTGAATGACACATATGGCCCTCAATGCTCAAAACCTTCTCTTGGTGGTGCCACCAAGCAGCGGCACGAGGGGTGACCTCACCGCAGGGTGACRGCTCCGTGGGTGCTGGGGCGGGCGGCTGAGGGCTGCTCCGGGAAATGAGCGCTGCATTTGGGAAATGATATCAAGGGAACGCAACAGGCTGCTCTGAAGCCCGAGTTGTTGTGGAGCTTTCACCTCATCAGCTTTAGGTCATGGATTCCTGCAGCTTCACACTGGCTTTGGGCTGCTGGAACACGTTGAAGGAGCATGTATGTGCCTCAGCTTAGTTTTCATTTCCAGGTAGTATTTCTCAGTGGTTCTCCATCTTAAGCAAAATACTAACAAGGCTGCAAATGATTTGTAGTTGATTGCTGTTGTAATAGGCGCATGTGGCAACCTGGACGTTTAAAAACAAGGCACCAGTCTGAAACTGAGCGGATGAAGAGGAAGATTTTTTGTGGGATAAATACCCTGCTTGACTGAAAGACGAAGATTTAAAAAATAAATCCCAAGCATAGTCTTGCTTTCCTCTACAACTGCAAGGTCCTACACAGGGCTACATCCTGTGTTACGAAACGGCTCCTATCTCATGAAATGGTTATCCTCAAGGAAGCTGGGATTACAGCGGGAAGATAGGGAACGCTGCTGCTCTTTCATGAGCAAAGCAGAAGGGGGAGAACAGTGTTGTAACTAATGGCTTATTTTGTTTTGTTTTATTTGTCTCCTACACCCTCAGATGACAGTGGATCTGCTGAGGACTCGAGCAGTGAAAGTTCATCCCTTTCATCTGAGGAAGAAGGGGAAATTCGGGAGAGTTCATGACAGTTCTTTGAGAGAAGAGGGTGGGACGTGCCTTTCATATTCTTTTATTTAATTGCTTTTTTTTTTATGTAACTGGCTTCTTTGAGATTCAGTTTGGAATGCTTTGCTAAAAAGAGCACCTCTAAACTGCCTGTTTAATTTGGATTTTGTAACTCATCTAGGTGTGTAAATAAAGAGATGGCGGTTGTTGGTCCTAGTAAATCCGATGTTCTTACTGCATTACACAGCTCAGCTTTGTCCATATATCTTTTAAGGTAAAAACCGGGTAACCCAAATGTAAAGCTTCCAGGTGAGCTTCAACAACATATTTTTCTCTTTATCCTGAAATGTTTGTGTTTTATTACCAAATATTTAAATTCAGATGAGTGTTTCTATTGACAGGTGGATTTGTTAGTCGTAATGTTAAATTTCTTTTAAAATCTTRTGTTTTCTTAGACAGTTTTTCTTTTAGGATACTTTTTATCATGCAGAGCTGCTGCAGATGTGGTGACGTTTTGGGTGCAGGGTGCAGTTACTGGGTTGCATCCTGCCTACCATGTTCAGCACAGGTCTGCATCTAGTCCTGTTTTCTGGCTGGCATCTGCTGCGTGTTTAATCTTCTAGTCTGATGTTCCAACTTGCACGAGCTGAAGAACAGACAGAAATTAATGCTTGRAGTTTCACTAATGCTCATGTATTGGTCAGCACTTGCGTTGTGCACCTCTTATTAGTTTACCTGCTCAAGCCAGGTACTGCAAAGAAGTACTGGAATATCAACCCCACCTTACCTAATTCATGACAAATAAACCTTTAAAAATCGCGGCCCATACCGTGTGCTGGTAACCCCTATGGCAGCGTTTCTGGGTGCCAGGTACCTGCGGCCGTGCCCACGTCCCTCGTGCCCGTGGGAGCTGCTGGAGGCCGAGCGGGGCAGCGGGTGCTGCGGGCCGGGCCCAAGGACACGGGCACCGGGCGGTGCCGGAGGCCGCCTGAGGCTCCGCGCGGGCCCGGCATCGGCTTGCAGGGGCTTGTGGTTCAGCTGAGGTCTAGCTGCACGCCGGTGTTTGTAAAGTCTGGAGCACGTGGTCGTTCAGTAAACAGCTCTGTGGGTTTAAGTTGCTGCCATCGTCGCTACCGCAGTCTGCCTGTCTCCTGCCTGAGATTAGCCCCTCCGGGACAGAAATGAGGGGCGTGGGATGCACTCGAGGCRGCACCTAAGTGCCAGGCTTGTTGATTTGGCCTTAAGCTGCCCTGCAGGTCGCTTGTAATCGTGTCCCTTCTGCCCAAGTCAGAGAGGATGGGAGCAGGGCAGTGAGGAGGATGCAGTGTGGGCAGCGCTTGAGCTGTGCTCTCCCATCTGGGCACCAGCCTGTTGCTTCCCTGCCGGGCAGACCCCCTGGAGAAGAATTCTGAATTTTGCACATTAGTCTTCTGCGCAGTTGCAGTCAGATTATGTGTAAAAAGCTCAYATCCAACTAGCGAATTGTGAAAAGAGCATCAGGCTCTTCCAGGTCACGCTTTAATATTAATTAAGTGCAGTGATATCCTGTGCRTTTGTGTGGTGCAGCTCTGGTAACACAAGGCGTTTTTCTTCTTGCATGGCAGGAGCTGCCTGAGGACTGCCCCTTTCTTATTTTTAATCGTTATTGGCTCTCCGCCCACATATTGTTTCCTTTCCCCCCCGCATCTCCCCCCCATATATATAACCCTTTTTAAAGGACCGTCRTTCCTAGTTGTAGGTGCTGCTTTCAGTCCAGTGCAAGCGAATAAGCTTTTCCTAATGAGTGATTGTGCTGACTGGGTGGCCACAAATTACTTTAAATCACCCTTGCATCCGTTGATGTTAGGACCAACAGAAGAGCAGAACAAGGAGCCTGCCACAGTTCATTTGCCAGAAAATGTTTCATCTGGAGTAAATGCTCGGTATTCCTGTTCCTAGGATTCCTAGCACGCCCTGGAAATCAGTGCTGCAGATACCAACGTCGCAGCTGCATGTGTGTGTGATTAGTCTTTGGCTGAGCAATACAGATTTGTAAGAGATGTGCTTTGCATTGGTTCCCTACATTCCTGGAGGTTTTCATTAATTGTGAAGAGTTCGCCTGCATTTTTTCATACAGAAATCCAGTTATAGCTCTCTTGTAAGAAAAGCACAAGCCCGAGTTGTTTTTAAGATGCTGTGAAATCTCTCCTGCAGATTGAAATCTTGCCCTGCTTTAAAGATGGCCTGAAGAGTGAGTAAGGACCATTCCTGTAGTGGTCGTTAGAAATAAAATTCACCAAAAAAAGCTCTGCCGAAGAAAATGTACTGTTTGTCACTCACTCCGAGCTTATTGCTTACCTATAGTAACTATTTTTATCTGTTTTTGAGAATAAAAGTGACACTAGTTTGAGGAGTGGTTTATTCAGCAAGTGTGAGCTCGGAGGCAACTCGAGCATTTTAGTCMAATTAGCAAAATGATTTGTGATTAGCAAATGATTAGCAACTGATTTGTGTTCAGCCTTCTCCGGTCTCAACCCCTGAAGTCGCAGCCTGAGCGCGAGCTGAAGGGCCCCGCGCTCAAACACGGAGCAGAGGCTCTTGTGCTGAATGAACGTGCTGCTAAAAACAGCGAGAAGCTGCTGAAGTCATCGGCTTTACAAACCATACGGGACAAAAATAGAGCAGAGCTAAGAGGCTCGTGGGAGCTAAGAGGTAGCACTGAGTCAATGCTGGAAGGGAATGGGGCTCTTTTCCTTTTTTGTACAACTTCCTGGGAGTTTGAGGTTGAAGTCATTGGAGTGTCATGGTAATGGGTGTAGGGCCAGGATTAAAGCCAAGTTTGGAGTGAACGCATCCGAAGCCTGGGTTGTTTTGGGATTTGTCCTCGTCTCGTCATTAGGAGCTCCTGCTCTGCCSCTGTGACACGAGGGCTCGGGGCCCGCGCGCCTGGAGGGTTTTGTGGTATGTGTGAAACTCAGTCCTGTGCAGGACACCCTCCGTAGCCTGAAAAATGAAATAAAATCAAAGGCACCAACTTGTAGGTTCCCCCTCTTGCTGATGGGAAGTCGCACCTGCGTGTGCTGTGCGAGGACAGCTCTGAGTCAGACCTTGCCCTGCGGATCCGGCTGTTCTCTGTTGACATCTGTAGGAACTGGGAATGCATAACACCTTGCAAGAGCAGCCTTTCCAAGAGTAAGTGTATGGCTGTGATGATGCAACTCCAGACCCTATTTGGTCACAGATATTTAATTCTACTTCCTAATGTTGTTTTTTTTTTCCTAAAAAGGTTTACTCTTCCTTCCTCTAAAGAGAAAAATATCTTGAATTTGTTTGTGTTGTTGCTATGGCATTAAGCTAAACCGTATGCAGTTGCAGGTTCTTTTAATAAGAGAAAAAGAAAGCGTGAACTGTGAACTTCAGTGAATGAAGATTGCCCCATGTTTGTGTTAGGATGTTGCTATGGCAGGGCATGTGGTTTTATTTGGTGGAAATTCGTGGTGAAATGGAAGGAAGTCGCATGCGAGCAAGACAAACAAGAAATGGCAGCAAAACCAGTTGAGAATAAATACTGAAACTGAAAGGGATGCAGCAGACATGAAGAACCAGGAAAAGGGGAGGATAAAGCAGCCCTTGGCCTGCGGTGTGATAAAGAGCAGCGCGCTCCCGCTGCGTCTCCGCCGGCCCYGCTGCCCTAGCCAACAGGGACTTGGTTCCAGTGACACTTTTACCCTCAGAGCTTCTTTCCCACGTTGGCTCCATGGATTGTAACAGTTTTTGTTTTGGAAGCAGATTTCMCCTGGCTTGGCCTGGCTTTACCCTWGTGTTATCCTGCTGAAAAGCATTTCTAGGCTCTCTCAATGTGTTAGGCTTTCCAGCAGTAAAATCCAGTGGAGCGATAGACTATGGGAAGCCACTAGAGCCTTGCTTACTGCTGGGGCCAGAGGAAGTCTTTGTGCACATGCTGCTGGCTCTTATTTCTGATCGAAACAGTGGATTTCCTTCCTGTCTTCCTCCTCAGATGTGTCCAGTCCTTTGGCACTGGGCTTCCCTTTGGACGAATCGGCGATACCGGCCTCCTGCAAAGTCTGCACAAATTACTGCGCGTGTCCTTCCTCCCTTGCCACCAGGGACGCTGGCGGTGACGCTGATGCCATCASAGCAGTTTCCCTGCTACATTTGTGTTCGGCAGGATCGGTTTTGGTCCCTCTCATCCCAGCTGGTTGTTRCTTGGTGCCCGGGCACCCTCACCCGTCAGGAGCAGGGCTCCCTACACAGCAGTTTGCAGCCGTCTCCAGCGACACGATACCCGTGCAGACGAGGCTGAACTGTGAGAGGGAGGTGTGAGTGAGTGAAGCTTTTCATTAAAATGGATATCACCAAGCTGCTCATGAGCAACCCATTTATTCCTGTGTCATAGTGACATCAGGGTATAAAGCTCCTTCCCCTGTGTTTTCCTCCGCCTCTTGGTTTTATGCACGTAGATGATGGTATTTGCTGGGAGCTTTCAGCTGGCAGTTCCCCTGGCGCCCGAGCAGGTGGAAGCTGCCTATCCTGTCTCTTCATTATCTTTCCTCGCTGCCTCTGGGCACATATCAGTTTTAATGGGATTATTTTACTGCAGCACAAGTACCTGCTTCTGCAGAGTAAACGTTCTTAATTTAAATTTTCTTCAGTAGGCTCCCTATTTTACAGCCRTGCCATTTCAGTATCTGATTTTGTCAGATTTCCTGAGCTAATTTGGGTCCACCCTGGTCCAAGATGATCAAGGAAATGGGTAACTTCAGAACCAGCCTGTCTGCTGCTTGTCTTTTGGTTGGGTGTTGAGCCAGTRTTCTCAAGATGTAACTGGACTGCACGTTTGACTGGTCATCTGATATTTATAATGGTTGAGTCCTTTGATACCTGTTATTAAAATTCAGGCTGTGCTCATCGTGAGGTTAAGCTATTAATGTCTTTGGCCAAGCCAAATTCCCTTCCAGGCAAATCTGTGCACCTTATCTTTAGAATTCATCTGTCTAGTAAAGGCTGGCTACAAAGCCTAGCTCACAAAAGCTTGCATAATGTTGCTCTTCTCCTGCCTGGTTGCTGCCTTGAGCTCCTGAAGTGGAGCAGTTGAAGCTGCGTATATGAACGATGCCTCAGGCTTATCAGAACGTTCTCCAATATAAATTGCATATGTAGAAGTCATAGCTGTGTAGTTTTTCTGAAAAAAAATCATCAGTGTTTGGTCTTTATGGGGTAACAGGCAGATGTTCATTTCATCATTTTATTGATTGAAATCTTTTACAGGACCTGCATTTTATAGATACTAAGTAAGTCTCTGTACAGCTCGGTGCAGTGCAGTTGCTCATGAGTTGAAATACACTCCATGTGTACCCAGAAACACTCGGGTGTCACTGTGTTCTCCGTGGTCCCTCTACGTTTCCATGTGCTGTTTCGTGCATGGCTGTGTAACATGGAACAAAGTACATGGAGATGGAAAGAGGGCCATGAGAAGAGCCCCAGGCGGAGCAGCATGCAGCTCTCCAGCCCCATGCTGGGCGCTCCATGTGGGTGATGGGAGCCTGGGCATTGCTCCCACTGCTCCCATAT